CAAGCCATTAACTGACCCTTTATCCACTGGAAGATGGCTGTCGTTTTCATGAAGCCAACAGCTAGAATTAGAAACTCAACAGCCCTTTCTGGGTGGTAAAATATTTATTTCAACCTGGTATTTGAGCCCATACCTGTCAGTTATCTATAGTGAGATCTACAGCACTAACGTATCATGCTGTTGACAATTTGTGTACCCTACACCTAAACCAGATGAATATCATATGATACGGTGGTATCAAGCTTGATCCAATTCTCTGCCTCTGTTCAGGGGTATCTACGGTAGATACAGACACCCACAAGACTGTTTCCCGAATTCCAGTTATTTCGATTCCATTTTGATTTCTTTATTTGCACTTTACAGTATTTAGCAAAGCCTATGAAAGAAGAGCTTCCACAGGAATCTTAAGGCCCTGCCACTAGCTGTTTGCTATGTGTAAAATGCTTATGTACTGTCTCGGTTTCGCATCTTTCCACTCAGATATTTTAGTGATGAAGCTTATCGATACTTTACCTGTTAATTCAACAGAGATCTTCTCATCCTCATAAAGGAGGTAAAACACCACAGGAGGTAAAACTGCCATGATCCAGTACAGAAAGGCATTCATGAAGCCATGATCAGCTAGGGCTGCAGTGAGCCCAAGAATTGTAAACCATGCAGTGCTGCAAACAAAAAAAATAGTTAAAACTATAAATTAGTTAAAAACAAAAGCCATACCTCTGGCAACGTGTCAGTCACCTGTCCATGCTGTGAAGGGCTGGACAGGATTTTGGCTGAAGATGTCAGCACAGACTTCATTTTGTATCAGACGCGGCCAATGGTTTAAAGCACAGCAAGACCACAAAAACATTACAGGTTCCCACACTACCTATAAGAAAACTTGTTGCAGCTCTCAAGAAGAGATAAACACATGTGTACAGGGCACAGGTTGTGGAGAGTTTAAGCAGAAGAGACCAAGTAGCAAGCAGCAACTGTCTAAAAGAGGTCTCAATGAGCAGACAGCTCAGAAAGTGAAAACCTGCCCATGGCAGGAAGCCTAGCCAGCTTATGACAAATACTAGTAACTCCTTCCAACAACAGACTACAGCCAAGAGCTTTCTGCTTCAGAAGGCCTTATGCAAATAAAAAGTGATCTGGTTGCCCACATCTATCTCTAACCCCACAAAAAGAAAAGATTTCTGACCCTGAGAGCACGTAGGTCACCAGTAGCACAGCTGCCAATAGCAAGCATGTTGCACATTTGTAAACACCCATCAGTGCATGATGAGATGTGCAGCTATCTTTTGATTTCCTTCCTAGTGCTGCATGCCATCATTTCAAACGGATATAAGTTTCCTGGTTCTGCTTTCCAATGCTAGAACATATGCCATCCTTTTGTTCAATACCTTCTGTTGCCCCCTGCCAACTCTGAAGGCTTTAACTCTCTCTGTCTGTACAATGAGCCCATGTCCCGCTGCTCCACTTTCCAATAACCTGCATGCTGAGCTGCCAACCACACCAGAGCCCACCCACCCAACTCCCTGACAGGCATGAATGAGTACAAATCCCTCCTTGACCCTATCAGAAATTATATGCATTTTGATCATGCAAGAAATCCGTACAGAAGACTATGGCATGTTTGTTACGCAGCTCATCATTACAACTGCATCAGAGTTCAGTACAATCTTTAAAAGCATTCTTTAAATTTCTATCCTCTACAAGCCATTATCAAGGCAGACAGCACCCTATTAGGGATTTAGCATTGCAAGATATAGCCCGCCTTGCCCCAAACAGTTACATCCCTCCAGCAATGCATTGTCAGGAAGTAGCATCAATACATACATCTTTTATCACCCTTATTAGCTTTAATGCACAAATATTTTTATTGCTGTTTCAGGGTCACATGTTCTAACATCCAAGCAGCAGCCGAAATGTAATCCCTCACTTGGCCTCATCTGGATTCACATCCCTCCCTGCCATTACTCTTATCTCGACCCCAGCCCTACCTCTCTAATCTATTAATTTCATTAGATATCTAGCGCCATGACCAGTGGTTTTGTACAGCTTTTCCAGCAATAAATGCAGTGCAGCAATGAGCCACTGCACAATCCAGTAAATGAGAATTTATCAATAAGGGAAGGGTTTTTTGTTTTTTTGTTGGTGGTGGTGGTGTTTTTGTTGGCTTTGTTTTTGAAGTGTACCAAAGAGTATAAGAGGAAAGCTGGAACACTTGTAAATCTCTAGGGTCTTTTAAGATTGAAAAGCAGCTGGGGGGAAGGATTTTTTATTTATTTATTTTTAATCAGCCGGCAATTTGGAGCTGCTAGCTTTACTCTATGCTACTAAGGAAAACATAAAATCAACAACTACTTTTTATCTTTCTTGATTATATCAACAGCTTGACACAAGCAAAGGTGCTCAAGGACATTAGTTAGATAGACCGTGACCTAGTGGTTAATTTGAGGTTATTTAAACTAAAGAACAAGGCAAGCACTAGGGTATTTATGAAAGCTTTGATAAAATACGGCCCAGAGATGACAGAAGTTTACAGGGGAGAAAGGAGAACAAAGAAGAGAAGATACAATGATTGACCAGAGAGAGAAGGGGCTCTATCTTTGGACTTTTATGATAGAATGAACCCAGAATTAAAGCAAGCAAGTAAATACAGAGATGAAGTCTAGATGAAACTGTGACAACATCCAATAAGGCAGTATGTTCTTTCTCAAATAATTTTAGAACATCAGACGTAATATCATACCTTGAATATTATAATCTTTTCTACTATCATCTAACCAAATCCTTACCTTTAAATACCCAAATCTGTGCTTGCTCTTCCACCCGTATCAGTGCTGCTTTATAAAAATGTTCACTTCTCTGCTGTACATAATTTCAAATACTTTTTTCTCATTTTTCAAATCACATGCAGGCCTTTTTGTGCCTTAGCACAAAGTAGCATAATCTGGATGAGAACAGAATCTAAACATTTTTTCTCCCTCTGTTTTCGAGTCTTCTAAGACCAGAATAATCTATATATGACTACAAACCTGATTATCTTCCTTTTCCTCTAATAATTCATTAAAACCTTTTTCCCCATAGTCATTCAAAGAATAATTTTTTAAATCTGTAAAATATAAATAATTGTTTCTTATTTTATATGTTCTAGATAAGAAGCATTTGAGTCAAAGGACATACCTTTTCTCATTCAACATCAAAAGACCAGTCAATATTCATGAAAGCAACAGCCATGAGCTCAAGAACGAGATCAACTAATCAAAAAAAGAAAAAAAAATCCCAGGACGTTTAAAAAGTCTGCCACCTAGTGGACTTCTTCTAAACACGGTTTTGAATTAGAAGATGAAAGCTTAGAATGTTGCTGGGTATTTTTTTAAGCTTTCCTTTAGCTAGACTTAATCAGTTAGGAAACAGACTATGACAGAGCCCACTTAAATGTATAAACACGTGCAATAAATCATACCCGTTTTTTGTAACATCTACGAAATTGCTTATCTGAAATCTCAGAAGTATGAAAAAAGCAACCCGAACATTATGTCTCTTCTGTCAAAGAGGAGAAGGTCCCAAAGTCAAGATTCAAGTAAACGCAGAGATAACTGATAAAAACAGGAATCTGAAAACAGGGTAGAAAAATGTTTGGAAATAATAGACACAGGACAGAATCCAAGCAATGGCACTGCTCTGTGAAGAAATCAGAAAATGTTACACTGAAATTTGAATAAACGAATAGCTAAAATACTCCAAACCTCACCAAAATTCTTCTTCTGACTAGGCAGATGGCCGTTTTAACAAATGCCAGGGAGCTGGTGAAAAAGTCTTGGTGGTATCACAGGGGATACACAGCAAAAGAAAGGATTTATTATTCTGACATTCCAAGGAAGGAGGGAGGGAAGGAGAGAGGGAGGCCATAAGACAGAATCACTCAAAGATATTCAGCAGCTGAATCTTACTGCCCACAAAAAGCTAAGCACCAAGGATGTCCGTGACTAGAATCATCCATTATTGCCAGAGCCAGATTTTTCCATCCTGCTTTTGTGACCAGAGGAGAGCAAATAAATATTGGAGGTTGGCTGAGAAACAGTGTGCAGGCATCAGCAACCTCCAAAATATATAGGAATCTCTCTGCATAAAGTAAGGTTAATTCCTAAGTAGGAACTGGGGTGAAACAGCAGCAGACTCTTTCACTAGCATGGGGTTCCTTCAAGCAAAATAAGTAGTCAGAAGCCGTAAAGGGATTCACTAGGAATTACTGTTTCCAGCATGAAGGATTTTCTTACCTAGCTAATATTACCCAAAGCAGGTTTATCAAGAGCAGTAACTTCACTGAAGATAAAGGTAACTGCTGTATAGAAAGGAGGAGAAGGGAAAGAAAAAAAAAAAAGCAACCACTTGTTAGATTTTTAGAAGCACCTTGTGCAGAATTTATACGTATACTCAAAGCACATGTATGCCTTTTAAAACTATTAGTTTTGAACTGAATGAGCAAGAAGCATTTAATGAAGAACATACATTGCCTATACATGTTATAAATAACATGGAATCTCAACAAAAAGCAGCTACGGTAAACTGAAAGTATAATTACTCTTGTAGCAGTCCATCTATCTCTCAAAGCATCCATTTGGAAAATTACGTCTTGTGTTAGCAGAGGATTATATAAATACAGTGTTCTCTAAAACAAAATCTTCACTCAGTCAAAAAAAAGGAACATGCTGCAGCACAGTAGGAAGTTTCCCAGTGCTGTACATTTTTTTAAAAAATATTTTTTGTTTTCTTGAAAAAGCTTTAAAGTATGTAAGTTGGAAGAACCTCCTGAGATCATTTGAGAATCCCAACATTCATTTTCATAGAAAGTAATTACTGGCACACAGCTGTACAAAACAGTTTCAAAATGTGAGACACAAAGTTTCGCAGCTGGCAGTAATATATTCCACTCACGTAGCAGAAACATTTCAAAAGTTTTCATCAGTTCCCAACTAAATTTCAGCAGAAACACATGCACAACAGCAAGATGACAATTATCAAATTTATTTATTCCATTAAATAAAGAGGAAAAGAGCTACGATTCTCTTTTTTTATGCAGGTTTACTGACCCCAGAACTATAGACGATTTTCAGTGGGGAGGAGACAGGGCATGCTATCTCATGTGAACAAGCTCTGCATTTACTTTTCCGAACGTATAGCCTCTTCAGTATTATGACCTACCTCTCTACATGAGATTACCTATTAGAAGCACACTGATGAAAGGTTTGGTTGCAGTAGTTTAGAAGCAGGAGAAGGGTCAGGCCATGTCTGACCACCTCTGAAATATCTCAATAATCCAGTAGTTAAAATTAATACATTACACGTTGTGTTCCCGATCCTGCTTAAACTGACAAGAGTTTAGGCATTTTAGTAGGCATTTGATCATTTTACAGCAGAAATATTGGTATTTTATGGTCTGCAATAATCCATTTTGGTAAGTTATTGATGTATTTTTACATCAGCTTATCATAACAATAAGAATTGTGCCCAGAGAGTTCTTAAGAACCATTAAGCAAATAAAATGAAGCTTCTCATTCTCTTTTAGACAAAAAAAGCAAGGATGAACTCAAACCAGTCGTTCAGGTAACAGTAAGAATTGAGTCACACCACTTCACACTATTGCGTGGCCTATACAAAGCTGCAAAACTAATGGAAACTGTAAATCATCAGCAATTACTCATAATGAAAAAAATCCCTTTTCACAAGATGAAAAACATTTTACATATTTTTGAATCACAGCATGTATTTTTACACTGCACATGATTTTTGATATCAAAACATATACACAGAAAAATACAGCTACTACCAATGCACTTAAATGCCTGTACATCATTTACATATTAAAATATTTCACACCACTCCAAGTTGTGTCACTTAGTTATACACATTTCAAAACAGTGTAAAATGCTTTTTTTTTTTTAAACAAAAAGTAGAAAGTAAATGCTGCTTTAAGTTCCTTAGTAACTCAACTCATTCAGGGGTTAACTTTGTTCCATGCCAGCCATCAGTGACAAAGCTAAAGATTCCACTGTGAACGAAATCATTTAAAAAAAAAAAAAAAAAAAAAAAAGGAAAAACTGTTAATATTTACCTTTTCATCAGCCTGCAAAAATTCATTGCAGCATGCAATTTTGTACTTTAAAAGGAAGATAGCCTTTTATTATTTAAATTGTAAAATCTAAGTTTTAAAGGCTGTCAGGTATTTTACGAATCTCTGACATTTCTGACAACACTTCACCATTTCCCTCGCTGCCTGAAATAACTAAGGGATAACTGATAAGAACTGATAAGAACTGAGCTCCTTTGTGTGAAAGGAGTAAATGGAAAAAAAGGAATAATCTTGAGGGGTTTTTTTTCACATGTGGTAAGCCACACTCACAGATGATTCTTGTAGACTGAATAACAGTGATTTGAGATATTATCTCTTCTATAAGTCCATCTTACTTCCTGTTGGAGATTACTGCTCTCAAAGCAGAAAGAGGAGAACACACACATATTGTAAGTCCCCGCTAACCCCATTCAGAATTTGCCACCTTTGCTCAAAGTGCCACTCATTAGCAATTTAAGCTAATATAGCAGGCTGCAAGTAAGAGCACAGACATGCCCTCTTCTGCTGTTTCTGCTATTGAGGTAGTAACCTCCAGCAGAAGGGCAGAGCCAAGAACTCTGGACAATTTCAGCTGAAATATCATAATATTTACCGTTATTAAAATTCTAGATGTTATTGATATATCACAGCTGTCAGCCAACAACAAGAAGAATGCTTTTCTATGCCCTATAGGAATAGGGAGCGTTATAAAAACAAAACAGCACTTCAAGCTAATGAATTCTAGACAGAATTTAGTTTCATGTACTTGTTCAGAAAAACTACTTGTCATTTTATTGGCTGCATTAGTCATCCACTCCTCAAGCAGACAGATGAACCATAGATAACTCTCCATAAAAAAAAAAGTATGGCACAAATAATCTAAAAAGTGATGGAGTTAACTTACTAAGAGGTAAATAAAGCTTCATGTTTGCGAATATATCAATTAGTCTTTTTAAAAAATGAGATTCTTTAAGATGCACTGACAAACATTAAAATGGATTAACATAAACACACTCCTATAAGGCTTGTGTTCCAGTAAGTGTAGGTATATGAAAACCCTTATATACTTACAATGAGGAAAAGAGCCTCTACAGACAGCTTTGTTTAGAATAGTTACAAGAAACATGTGACAGTTTTTAAAATCAGATTCCATCTTCTCTATGGATTCCATCCTAAGAAACAGTTAAATAGAAGTACACTTAGTAACTGCACAGTTAGGAGGAGGAACCGTGTGGTTCCAAGTGACGAGAACTATTATTCCCATGTAGTTTTATGTCTTAAGATAGTCATTTCTGGTGCCTATTGCTTCAGAGCTCCTTGAGGTAAATCTGCACTAATAAATAAAACAGGGACAAGAAGAGGAGCAAGCACTGGACCCCTAATCATCACATGACTTGCTTATTCACTGACTCTTGAGCTCCATTTTGGACTGTGCCAACTCGCTTTCACTAGAGAAACAAGATGGGATAGTTCGTGCTAATCACTTCTTCCCTTTTTCTCCTCTCCCAAAAGACAATACAGATGAGGCTACATCAGGTGTAACTCCTGACTCTGGCTGTCCTGCCACATCTGAGGGCACGCAACCTCTGATGTAATTTCAGGCTGTATAAACGCTGCTACGACAGTCTACAACACAGCCTTCACAAATATTTCAGACATATTTGAGAACTGGAAAAGCACCCCAAAACAGTAATTTCCTAGTGTCACAGAAGACCAAGGTTCAAGTCCTATATAGTATAAACAGGGTCAGTCTGCGCCAAAAGGATTTACTTCCAAATAAAGTGGATGTGAGCCAATCTATGCCAGGTGGCTTCAGGGCCACAACTCCCTCCTAGACTCTTAGACATAGCCTTGGAGACCTGCTCACTGTCATTCACCATTTGAGCAGCAGGTTTTACATGCAAAAAAACCTTCAGTTTTTTTTTTTTTTAGTCTAGCCTAGAGAATGGCCTAGAGAAGGACAGCTGATTCACAGAGCAACACGTTAACCTTATCTGGGAAATTACAGTTGGGTTTCTAACTTCAATCATAGCCCTTAAGTAAGCCCACATCATTTTAAAAAAACAGCTATGACAGCTGTCTGTTGTTTCTACAGATTAGGTATTACGGGAAAGGACAAATAAAATAGCTTCCAATTTTACCAAAAATACAAAATCCTAGCATTTGAGCAAAGGGAGTCAAACATTCTACGTGAAAATCCTGACTCCACCCAAGTCAATGGATGAACTTTCACAGGCTTCAACAGCTTCATGTTTCTACCTTAAGATTTGACAAAGGCTTTATGATTTGGATTATCCACATTAAGAAATAAGAAAAACAAAAACGTATGTTCTGCACTTCCCTGCCTCCTAGAATGAAAGCCAAGCTAGAGAATTCCACTTTTCGCAAACCAATTAATGAATGCCAGGATCGACCTGCCTACAATTTTAAATCACGGCGAGGAAACATTATTACAAACCCAATCTGTGAATCTCTTGTTTTACCACTACTAACAGACACAAAAGAAAAGAAATTCCTCCCTGTCGCTAAGCTCTAGAATCTTTTCAGAAACGTGGAAGTTACATATTGGCCACCCTTTTCCACTAGAAAATACTTATTATACACTGACACAAGTGCATGAAACTTGTTAAGTTCTACCTAAAATAAATTTCACTTTGGTTAAGAAATACTATTTAGTCTCTGGAATCTGCTATTAAACACTCAGCAAAGTCCTGTTTTTTCACACACCAAAAAAAAATCTCAAAAACATATTCATAGCTCAGAGCTTTGAAGTTATGACAATACAGAATTGTAGGTACATATACTTACTTCCAAGCCCCTAAACCAGCCTGCCAACGATCTGCAAACATCAATACTAAATTTAACACTTTCGTTATAGCTTCTTTCACAAAGCTCACCTAAAATAACAATTAAAAGAAGTAAAAGTCAAGAATTTATTGTTAATCATAATCATTTTCATTATTAAGCTGCATTATTTTATAGCCATTTAATCTCATCTGTAAAAACAATCGCTTAAGTATAACGTGATTCTAAATTCAAAAAGGGTTTTGTAACTGCACTTGCGCTCTGATTAATTCGATGGTTGACTCTTTTGATAAGGACTAGCACAGAGAATATTTGGGATAAAAGCCTACAACGCTACGCAGGTATCCAAAGCGCCAACAAAGCAGAGCTATTACGGATAACATATAATCATTTTATTTCCAAATATCAGTTTGTTCAAATTCCCGCATCTCTTAAAAACAAATTAATCATGTAAAATCTGATATAAATAATTTCAGTTTATCCTCTTTTTCACAGAACTGCGGTAAGACTTGCAAGGTAAAGTGAATCTCAATGCTAACTCTGGAAAAGTCACTGTTTCCTCAAGAGTACCTATGTACTGCTATGCAGGAACAGCAAAATAGACAGCCTAATCAGTACCAAATTAGTTTCTATACTGCTAAACTCAATATATCAATTATTCAATTTTTTTTACCCACCTTTTCTCTCAATAGGCAGCGATCATGGATAGTCGATAGATATCTGTAATGAATTTTTATCAACTGATCTAAATCTTTGGCTTCTTCTACCTGATGCTGAAACTCCAGGCCTGTACTGTGAAGAATCTTAAAGAAAGAAAAGAGTATATAGTTATTAAATTCCACGTTGTACACCAGTCCTGATGGCTCTCTTTCAAGACTTTTTCTGGAGCCTAAAAGATTGCTCAGTTAGTTCACTCTTCCTTTCCCAGTCTCAGTTTTCAGACTCAGCCTTCCGCTACCATCAATATAGCACAGCTTTGAACTCTTTTAAACTGATCAGTGACGTTCTTCATGTAAATAGGGATGCTACCACCTCACATTGGACACATTATACTATTTCTGCAAGAGTTGATTCAGAGCACATTAATTTCACTGGAGACATTTTAGGATTCAGCAGATTTGAACTAGAAATAGAACACAGATCTTCTCTCAGGATACAGAAATGTAAAATTCTATCACGACAAAAGAACATCCACCAACTTCTCTTCTAAAAAGAGCAACATATTAACGTAACTAATTCTTTTATTAGGTTCAAGAAAAGGCAATAAGAAAGCTGCTATAAATCTGTAGGTGTTACCTTATTATTTAATAAGTATCAACTTTCGGATCTGATCGCTTGTGATTTCTGAGAAGGATCCATGTAAAGAAATAAAACGTCTGTACTAACACTTATACCACCACAATAGCTCTTAAGAGAATAAAAGCTTACAGAAACCTATTTTGGCATGATAATGTCTTAATCTCATAGCACTGGGAGAAACAGCCAAAAAGAAAAGAATTATTAGTATCCACAGATCAATAATATGCATGTAGAACTTCTAAAATATTTTTTGATTTACTGACTTAAGATGTCTGAATTAAAACTGACAAGTATTTTTAGCTCAAATTCACTCTGTAGATTGGGCATTAGACGAAGATTCTGCTTTTTGTTTGCATCTATTTGGTCCAGACTGTTTTAAATTAAATTGCATTTGTGGTTATAAGTTCTTAGCGGGAATGAAATTACGTTATAAGACAGACCCTCGTCATGATATAGTTGTGCAGGCTGTTAACAAAATGCATAAGTTTCACTCTTAAGAGGAACATGCGATGTATTTGTTGTTTTATACACTCTGTTTGCGATCCGAACAGAGGAAGCGTTCCTTGTTCTAATAAAGTTCCTTCCTTAACCTGTGGGTTTTCCGCAGCACAGAGCAGCTCTAAAAAAGAAAAGGAAAAGGTATTAAAATGCAACGTATATGAAAAAAATGTAGCTAAAATGTTACTTAAATTTGAAATTCATTTCTTATTCTGCACAAAAGAAAAAGCTTACATCAGTTTATTAATTCAGACGATTTATTAAAATGTACGGATGAGATACTGAAATAGTTTGACAATATATGTACAAGGCAATTTGACAAATACTTGAACAGGAAATGCTATATAAGAGTTACAGATTATGTGAAAGGATTAAAAAAAACCTACATTGAAATGAAGCTACTTCCTACTTTATTTTTTAGGACTTGAAGTGTCCATATTCATTTCATATGGCAGAGGAATAGTATAAATATCAAACCAGTGGACAGAGATACTAAGAGTTCTCTTTCTAGAATCCCCAAATGTTTAAATTCTCACCTAAAGTATGTATTCTGAACAATCCATCTTAATGTTTTGATCTCAGCTGGAGTATATTTTTGAACTGTTTTCCTAATTTGTTTTCAAAATATTCTTGTAAAATCGTGGGCTATAAATGATGCAAAACACTAAGGCGTGATGGACAGACCTTCTTTCAACGACAAGGTCTGAAGAACGAAATAGCAAGTTTCTAGTAATTAACTAGAATCAAAGAGATAATGGGAATGCACGGATAAACAGTGTTGATCTTAAGGTTTAAAAGACACCTAAGAAATGCCCTGCTTAATGTACCTGATTTTGACAGCTAATGGAGAAGCAGATTTATTTCACAGAACAAGTCAGAATCCTAACCGTTTTATATGCTACTTACTGTAGAAATCAGCAGACTATATATATATATAACCTTAGACTACAAACGAAGATTTTAGAATATCTGTCATTCAAGCAGTTTCTTACCATCAAATCGTAAAACATCTAGGCTGTACTTGGCCCACTTTATCTGTAGTAAGAGCAGAAAAACTTGATTGTAAATTTTTTGGCACTCTAAGCTTATAACTATGTCCACAGGCCAGGGAACCTAAACGAAGGGAGGACAATCAAGAGAGAAAAGTTACTTAACTTTAATAAAACATTTCAAATCTGTTCTAAAACAGCAGCAATAACTTGTAATTACACTCTTACCTTATAACTCAATGTCAAACCATCTAAGGTGTGGACAGGGAGTTTCTTCTTCGCTGTATCAACATTTTCAAATGATATAGACAATCTAAGTAAAGAAACAAGTATAGAAAACCTAAGTAAAGATTATTGGTGATAACCTGTTTTCAATTAGTGGTTACCTTCCTTAAAGATTTTTAATTGCTCACGGTGAAATATCAACTGTCAGATTTAATCTGGTAGAGGAGGGTAGAAAAGATTACAAAGGTTCAAAATTTCATTAAAAGAGATTCTTATAGTGAATATGCAAGAATTAGCATTGCACTATACAAGCATATTAACAGAGCTAACTGTGAAGGAAACAGTAACTACATTGTATTTTGCAGGATTTTGTATTTTACCTTGAACTATCCTCTGGATAGCGTTGCCCAACTGCTTCTTGAAGTTGAACGTTTAAAAAAGCAACATTCTGCCAAGTTTCCTTTTCCCTAATTTTGTCAAAAATGGATGTGTAGAAATCATACATAGTATCTCCAGCTTCAAGTAAGAAAAAGTTCCTCATTGCCTGCAAGTACTCTACTAGCCTAAACAGGGAACAAAAATACAGACATTTCCTAAATCTTCTTCATACAACGGTAATCAAATGCAACAAATGCAAAAACAAAACTTGACGTCTCTTCATTACAAGATCTCAAAACTGAACAGGCTAGACAATGAAGCCTACACTGAATCCTTTGTTTATCCTTCAGATAAGACTCCACATATGTTCAGATAAAACAAAATAATCAACCCATGTTTTGCCGTAAGCCTGAGAGCCCCCCCTTAACTTCAACAGAACTACTTAGGGGATTCAGCCATCTTCCGGGTTGGGCAATTCACAAAAATAGCTTAGAAGTGAGAAATCCTGTCCCCGTCTCTAAATACAACTTAGGAAAGGAGGTGTAACTTCACGGCGATTTCTGTGTAAGTAAGGACTTTAATACGGAGCCCCAGAAAATGATATTGATTCTTCCTCTGATAAAGTAGGAAGAAAACTACTTCCTCATCCGTCACAAAAACCATGAACACAGATACATTAAGTATGTGCAGTTCTTACATAACATGGCACTAGTACTTTAGGCAGATTAAAAGCATGGTGACTTTATGACAACCTAGAAAGTAAAAGGAATGGGTGACTTTATGACAACCTAGAAAGTAAAAGGAATGGGCTGTTTTACTCTGTATAATAAAAAAAAAAATTCATAATACCGTTTTGTGTATTATACATTTTACAGGATCACAGTGAAATCTCACCTTTAAAATAAATAATTCTGGCTTCTTGAAATTTCTCTTGCAGTTTCAAACGACAAGACTATTTAAAAAAAATTGTCTGAAACAATTTCCCTATTGGACATCCACTGAGAACAGATGATAACTTTACTCCTGATTTAACCTGGACCAAGGCTTCCCCTAGGACTCTTATCGTATTGTTTTCCTCCTTTTTCTTTAATGTTTTTGCCATTGTTTTATCAAGTTGGAGTAGCAACACAACATACTTTTGAAGTTTTTCAATAACAATCTCTAAAAGAAAATTCCTGCTTTTATTATATGGCATATCACTGGTAATTATTATTTTTTAAAGGAAAATCAGTTAATTTCTTACCTATAATCCTTCTTTAAAGTTTGCATTAGATTACCACAACATTCCAAGTATTGTTTGTCTATGTGAGGATAAAGGCAAGACCTCAGTGTCAGTTCAAAAGTCTGGCAGGTCACCGATTCTGAGGATCTATCCACACAAACATCCCCACCAGTAAACTTCTCATGAAAGTCACTTTGTTCCAAATATAATCTTCAAAACAAAACACAGTCACAACTTAGCAGAGAAGGTATTTAATTCATACAATGCATAAAAGAAAGATGTCATACCTTCAAAGTTTTTAACCAAACTTTGATCTTTTGCTCTAAAACATGCAGAAAATTGCACGCAGTAATGTCTAAATGTCTAAAAAGTTGCCGAAGTAATAAAAGCTGTTCCACAACTATAGCACTCTTAATTCATTAGTTGTTAGTTTCATAACGGGACGAGTCTATCAAGTTATCATCCACGTTGTTTTTGTATGACCAAGCATAAGGATACTGAAAAAGGATGACATGCTGTAATCACTCAGTCGCTCAAGGAATACTTCTGAAAAATAATACCAAGCTCCAACACTATACAGCTTAATAAATAAACCCTTTATCATAGGATCTTTTAAGACTATATCGTGCATTAACAAAACACTGCTGAGGTGAACTTCTGAGAAGAAGAACAAATAACAGAAAAAAGGCAAAAAAAAAAAAAAAGAAAAAGAAAAAAGTCGAATTTAAGGCACCTTAAATATGGATTCATATATTATCTGTAATAGTATACCTTGGGAAGAGAGTATCTGTGGCCATTCCACATTTGGTAAGCTTAATTATTTTGTCATAGAAAGGACAAAATTACTATAACTTGTATAAAGCTACTCAGTAGCTTAATCCGTTATAAGAGCAAGCCCAGTTTTTATCACTTCAGAGCAAGTACTGCCTTGACAGGCTGAATGAGTCCTTCACTGAACTAAACATGCTATCAACTTTAACAAACAGAAAAGTCTTAACCAACAAGGGAAGCGGTTTTATCTACTATTAATTACAATTTCTTTGCAACAAATGGTGCCTTTAGGCATATTCTAGGAAAAACATTTTGATTTTAATTGTGTAGAATTTAACCTTTACAATAAAAACCTTTAACTACAATTGTAAGCCAAAAGGCACTACTCGATCACCAACATTTTTGAGAAACTGAAAAGACTCAGATTCCAAACTGGTGTTCAGGAAAAAAAATAAGTGCCTATTCCTTATTTGTAACTAAGTAAGATTTTTAGAGTTACTGCTAATTCTCAAAACATTTATAACCTCCACAACTGCTTACCTTCATAATGAAGAATGTTTATGCAATTAATATGAAGGCATTTAAGCACAACTGAAGCTGCATTTTTCAAATAATATACTTCGTATAAATCAAAGACATTTTATACAATCCCAAGCAAGCATTTCAAAAAGTTTAAATTTTACAACAGCATTCACTATTAAAACACACTTTATTTGATAAAAACCTTTATGATAAAGACCATTCCATTTTCTACGCTAAAGGATGTTACTAGCAGGAATTTGCAAAGAATTCTTTACTGATTTTTTTTTTTAAATTAGCACAAGTTAGTGTTTGCTCAGCTCTTGTCACTGGTTGTGCTGCTCTTTACTCTGTGCTTGCTTGTTTTAAGCAGCAGCAACAAAAATTCAGTCCACAGAATGTCACCAAGCAGAATATTGATTTCCATAACACATCAGTGAGATCGCTCGTCATTCATTTACCTCGCAAAATTAATAGCCAGCAGTGGGTCATGGACGTCATCCAGTTCTAAGTGTCTTTCTGCTATAGACTGCATCTTTATCAGACTCTGCTTTGTAGCCTGCTGCTCCGTAATAATATCCGGAATAGATTCCTCTCCATGCCGCAGGCGAGATTGCACTGATTCCAGGAACAGCGTATACAAACTCTTTCTCTCAGCATCTGAATTGGTAACACATTTAATGGTAAGATTTGTTCTAAGAAAAAACATCATGAGAACTGTAACAGAACTGTACAGTCTAACATTTACTTGATATGTTTTAACAAACTACATTTAGGCCACTATTTAGCCAAGTACTCAAGTACATAAACGAAGCACTGCTAAATCAGTAGGGATAGCCCAGTACTTAAAAACAGGCATATGTCCAAATGCATTGCTGAATAGGTATCTGAAATATAAAATATTTCAGAAAATGTTAGAAAACTTCCTCCTTCAGGTGCAAAGGCAATTAATTCTTCACACCTGAAACAGCCCTGCAGTTTTCACTAGAATAGATTATAATCTCAAACCAAATGGGGAAACAAGCCTAGAGCGATTCCAAAATAATTCATATTGCTCCACCTCTAAGCATAAAGAAATAGCAAAAACAAAAAATTGATTTTGTCTCCTATGAAAAAAACAGAAAACAACAATTAATCACACTGTTCTATGTTTTACTATTGTTCAAGGTAAGTACCCTAAATATTCTTATTTATAAAAATGTCAAGATTTTTTATCTAATTATCAGTAAGCTTTCTTGAGCGGTCCTACATGCTGCCTCAAAATTATTCAACCACTTACTAGTGGAAAACAACTACTTATTAAAATCAAAAAGTACTACGGTTTGAACATATAAACTGTTTTCATTTGTCTCATAACAGATGGAAAATGTTTTGCAAGCATAATAAAACACAGTTTAAGAACAACTTAACAAATCAGACCACTAACAACTGAAGTGAATATTCAACCTTTATTCACTCTGTTCTTGTCACTTGTTTGCATTGGAAAAGTAACTGTTTTCAGTCAGGTGTGAACTTACACATCATACTACTGAAGCGTAATTAGGAGAGCGTATTATTCTAAAAACACAGAAACATCAAGGCACAAACTATGTCTGTACCTAAGGTACCCTAAGGACTGGTATTACAGAAACTGACATCTCACCTCTCGACGCGGCTTGCTGAGGAGAACCATCTTTGCATTGAAGATTCTTCAACAACTGCATGGATTTTCCAGCCATGATGATTTGCTTTAGAACTGGTTTCAGAAAAGAGACCATTGTATGTTGCCTGCTTGAAGGGGCCTGATCACTGCCAGAACTGGCACTGGCATTATCACTCATCTTCTCTTCATTCTCTGTCTTTTCTGACACACTATATAACGTGTAGGTAGCATACCAAAAATCTCTGTGATTAACTGGGACATTTTTGTTTCTACAAAGAAGTAAGAAAGCTGTTGAGTATTTTTATTTTTGAAAGATAAGTCTTCCTTACCTGAAAATATAAATCATCATTTTTCTTATACTCTGCCTTTAATTTAGACTAATCAAAAAGCACTTTCAAAATTATAGAAAAATAAGCTCATTCACATATCAAACTATCTAGACACCTCCAGAATGGTGGACAGTTTTCGCAGGATAAAGAATCAGCTCACCGTAGATAAAGACAACTGTATAACCAAGCAAACCCCAAAATAAGGAAAAATAGACTAATAAAAACTAAATTTATGCAAGAAGTTTATTATGCAGAGGGCCGCTCATCCTTAATAACAAAATGATTCGTGACTGACTTCGATTTATTCAGTAAACCAAAACCACAGTGAAGAAAATACTACCAGGAAAGCAGAAAATTTCTGAATTAGGTGAAAAGCGAACTTTTAATTCACTTTGCTCTTTTGTGCTGTTTATATCAGATATATTGTTTGGTCTTTGAAATTAGTTGTAAAGTAACCTAAATTAGATAGTTACAATTAAGCTCAACTATAAATATAAGCTGAAATCACACTTGTTCGCAATACTGAAAACACGACTATAGAACCAAGGAAAGCAAATCAAGTAGGATACAACACGGATGATAAAGATCTCAATAATTAAGGACTCATTACTATAGTATTAGAGTATCTCTTAGAGTATAGTATCAGAGTATCTCTTACTACCTGCTCACTTTTACATGTCCTAACAAATGGAGGTTCAATTAAATATTGTAGATGGGGGGGGGGAACACTAATTTATAGGTATGAGACAAAATTCTAATAGTTTTACAGTCATTTTCCATTTCAACCTGTCAAAAAAGCAACCAGAAAAATGTAAGATACGTAGAAATTAACAGACTTAAATATTATTTAGGATGGGTGCATGTAATTGAATACGCTATTAACTGGTACTGCAAGTCAGAAGCAGTAAGTGTTTAATTCTAAATAGCATCTGATTTATATCAACTATAGATTAATAACAGAACTGAAAAGTACATTTTAGAATTTTTACAAGTATCTAGATTTTTTTAAAAGTGATTAATAGCTTTTAAAAAAGTCAGCTCACAGAGTCGGACAGCTGATTCCATATTATAGATAGGAAAGCTAGAAACAGCTGATTTCTATTCCAAAATAACATCTGATAGGGATCAGTATCTAATGCAATTTCCTTAACAGGCTGAGACAAGTCATAAGAGAATGATTAAGAAATTAATTCTACTTAAATAAAACAACTAACATGAAAGCCTGCTTTCATTGTCACTATTTACTTCCTAGGTTCTGCAGCAACTGTTACGCTCACACTTGCACGGCATCTCGTTTGTCCAGTACCACTGTCCCTACCTCTGAATGATAAATTCCTTTGCAGGATCAAACAAATTACCATGGACTATCCACTCATCCACTGTCTGTAAATACGGCCTCACAGTTTCAACCCAGAGAGAGAACAGAAGGGACACCTGAATTTAAAAAAAAAAAAAAAAGTGGCTTTTTCTTTTTTTTTTAAACTATTAGATGAAATACAGCAAAGCCTTATCTTTTATTTGTGCAAAAATAATTTAGAAGATGCACTAACTATACTTAAAAAAATTTTTAAAGATAAAATGTTGAACTAAAAATTACAGCGCACATTGTGCATGCTTCTCTCTATTACTTTTTTCATCGCAATCAGTCCCAATAGCAACATCCCTTATTTTCACTCTTACATCTCTTAAACAGAAAGTGTTAGTCATAGAACATTCTGTGGTTTCATAATGTAGACAACTGAAAAACAGGAGGACAAGATGACATTTACTCTATTTTCACTAGAAAAATCAACAGGCAACTGTAAAAACAAAAATACATTTCAGCATTAATTCAATTATGCACCCACGCAAATAGCAAAAGAGCTATTTAAAAGCCTTCTCTTTTATAAAAGCCCTCTTGCCTCTGATTCCCCACAGAGGCTCCCCCCTCCAGGCCTAACTCCTGTTGATCTCCTTGCAATCTAATCTCGTCCAGGTTAAGTTAAGGTACAAATAACTCACGTCAAAATACAGCAATTCATTTATGGCAATCCAATTTGTTCTCAGCCTTCAATCAACTAGCTGAAGGCTAGCGTACTCGGTCACCATATCCTAGAGAAATTTTACTCATCAAGTATTCTACTGTGTGTGCTATTAAAGAAGACTTGATTTCCCCTACCGTTTGCTCAGATGCTTCTCCAACGCTGTCATATTCAAGAATAGCTTTGTAGAGAGTATTAAGCAGATGAGATGCTCGTACAACATTTCTAGTGTCAGGAGGCACTTCTGCTACTCCTGTGCTGAAGACTTTGTGAAGTACCTTCAGCTGTGCCAGTCGGGGAGACAACTTATCCATTACTATTGAAAGCGTGACTGTTTTATCTGGGGAAAAAAAAAAAAGACATAAAAAAAGATAATATCTAACAGAAAACAAAACTGTGGCAATGCAATTCATGAATTTTTAAAACGTAGCACAGCATCTTTCACAGTTTCAAAATTTGCGTAATGTCTTGCATGCTTCCCTCTTGTAAAAATTTGTCTGGCTCCCTTCTGTAAAATTTCCCTTGCACTGTACCTTTGTTGATAATGCATTTTTCAATTTCAGTAAGTTCTTCTTTAAAGCTAATAAAATATTTGTACAAGGCCCACATAAAAGCTTGGTAGGTTCTGAAAGGGGCTTCGGTAGTTTTCTTTGGAGTAGAAACGGTTCCATGCATTATGTTTTCCGGGCTGTGTCCCATCACTTCGTCAATAAACTTCTGTAGTCTAAACACAACTTGACCATATGCTGCTATCTGCTCCAATACAGATCTTAGGCAATTCTAGAAAAAAATTATTTTTAGAATCATCTAATGAAAATGTTTATTTTATAAAACCTAAAAATAAAATCACAAAATATTTCTATTTTCTTTGAACTTAAATATAATACAATTTTGCTATGTCTATCACTTAATTATATTCTCACATATGGGAACAGACCATTCCGTTTTATTAAATCAAATGTGTTTCGATCAACTTAAGAACAACTACAGAAACATCAGTTTTCCACAAGAAGTTTAACTGCCTATTCACAAAAGACATCTTTCTGGTGGCAGACACATTCAGCTGAGATTCATCAAAACAACTTACATGGGTTAAATGAGTTACAATAATATCATTCCGCACAGCCACTTTTCCATCATTCAGTTGAAATATAAAAAGTTTTTTCACTCCTGACAGTAACCTGGAAAAGAAACAAAAGGAGTAATATATTTTTTCCGCCTTAATGGACTCATCCTAATTATACAATTAATAGAAGAATTAGCTCTTGCTTGTCTAAAAGTTTCTTTTCTTCAAATAAAAGAGGACCACCTATGATGCTATTGGCACTGTAAGCTGCTGCTAGAACAAAAAACAATAAAACACAGGCAGCAGGCAAAAACCTCCAAAAGTTCCTTTCCAGTTGAGATAATTTCAAAACACGGGGTGATTCAAAACCACTTTTCAAAATTGGACACCTTTTAAAAAATCCATAGGGGCAAGATAAGAACAAAATGGCTCTTCTTAACAGTTGGACCTGAAGAATCAATACACGCAAGCAGCAGTAAACTATATTCTTCTTTGTGAACCTGAACAATTAAGCACATATTAGCATCTTTAATATCAGCAATGGTGCAAACTAAAGACAGATCAGTAATAATCCGTTCCTCAAATATGACTTCCATGATAAATTTCTTTTCTATCACCTCCTTGACTGAAGATACTAAAATAAAAGTTAAAATGCAAGCTTTTTTTTGACATTTCTGCTTACCAAAGAGTTTCCCGTATAACCTGAGTTTCAGTGACTAACGTTCTTTCTTCTGGCACATATAAAGGATTACTGGTGTACAAGTGGTGATCCCTTAGAAAAGGAAAATGAAAAGCAATTTAACAGTTGAAATCACAACTGACTCACTTCCATGTGTCTGTAAGGCTCAGTTTTCCACTACTTACACCTGAGTAGCTCCAATGGATCATGGAGGTGTTTGAAAAATATAAACAAGAACAGAGTTTGCTTTTGCATGGTTAAGCAAAATAGTACGGAAAAAGCATTCAAATTTCATCTAGTCATACACAGCGTGACAAGCAGTTAAGTAGCAAATTTTAATTCTTTGACCCTTGATTATTTAGTATGTCATATTCAATACTGCAAAAAGTTACAGTAACTCTGTTCAGAATATTAAGCTTAAAAATAAAATATGAATTTGCCAAAACATTATCAGCAAATTCACACCTTATTCCAAAAGTCTGCCCAAGGAATGGAAACTCTTCCTCATGATGCTGTGTTGCACAATTCTTCGTAAACCTTCCACAGTATTTTTAATGTTTTGGCAAAGTACACAATGATTATGTGCTTTTGTAGTATTTTGACTCATTTATATCATCAGTGGCAATAGTTATGTTACCACATTCAAAATTCAAACAATCCAAATTAAGTACTACTAGTTACACCATATATCTGCTAACACAAGTTGGAACTCACAACAGAAACAGCATAGCTTTATTTGTTACTGATTTCCTAATATTTCCTGTAAATTTTGGTTCATAACTAGCTAGGTAACTATCTGACTCTAAAGCATATTTACTCTTAACATTAAGAAATTCATTAAATTAAGGAATCAAAAATCTGAAGAACCGTATTAGCACAGTACTGATACTTCAGAATGGGGGAAACAGAAAGAAACGGACAGGTTTGTTTTTTTTTTATTAAGCCTGCTTCCCTTTTTCCTTCCAGCACCACAGGGGATTGTGGTGATGTACTTCTGTATGCACCTTCTCCACATAAAATCTGTGTTTAAATCTAACTTCATAAGGGAAATACCAAAAAATAAACTAAAAAGTTAAATTTTAGGAAATTCTTTATTTTCAGTACTACTTCCAACACATCTATATTAGATCCGCAGAGATTTTTAGAAGGGTTAACCTAAATAAAACTCATCACTGAGAAAGATTTGCTTCTTGAAACAAGGAACTCTCTCTCCCTCAAACATAATGAATACTATTAAAAAAGCAGCTGTTAGTAGAAGATATAACTCTTGCTTGCTAATCTTTTCCATTCGTACCCATTTAACTCTACATTCTGTTTTTACTAAATCCATAATAACTATACTAGCTTTATAACACAGTATTAAGACAGTCAATAAAGTCATCATTTAGCATTATATAATACTGGTAAGAATGCATAAGTGATCTTGTTTTCTTACCAGACTGCAGCTAGGTTGGAATGCAAGTGCAGACTGTGCGAAAAGCGAGGAGTTCTTCCTGTCCAGTATTGAGGAACTACATGCTGTTCCAGCCAGCTGCGAGCATCAGGTTCACCGACTGTGAAAATATGTGATAGTCACTGAGGTATTTTTATTTATTTAGGAAATACTTATAAAACACAGGAAGAAGTTGTTAATGAGCTTATCTGCTCACCTGCAGAAATACAGAACCTTTCAAATAAATCAGGTTTTACAACTATTTACATTTTATTGCACTCACATGCATGGTAATACCATGAACAAATTAATTTACATGGAAATGCCCCATCTCCTAAAGGTTTCTCAAATCCTGAAAAAAATAAACTTGGAGATGCATTTAGATTTCAGTTCTTCCTCCAGGAATGTGCTTCTATTTCAGGCAATTCTCAAACAATATATACAAAATAAAAGTGGCTTAAAAATAAATTGCCAAATATCACTGACTTTGTCAGCATGTTGCTTTCTATTATGCATTCAGGCCATTACCAAAAAAGGGTTTTTTTTCCTTACACATGATTACCAAGAAAGCTAGCTGCTTTACCAGTTAGCTAGCTGCTTCTTGTACCATATATCTGATTCATGCTGTCTTCTTCTAAGGTCTCTGTTAGCCTGCACTATCCTATTCAAAAATATACAGCTAGTTAACAGTGTCTGAAGCTATTCAAAAGTCAGCCACTAGTGTTTTAATTATATAAAAGCATTTTTTTTAAAAAAAGTTTCATATACAGAACTTGTTCAACTGTTCCTCATCACTTCAATTTTATTTCATTATTCTGATATTTAATGATAAAGAGATCCATACAACTACGTTACATTTACTGAATATGTTTTTATTCCTGCACTGGAATATCAACGCACACTTTTCACCACTGAGGTTTGTTTCCAGAAATAAATAGAAGTCTTCTCCATTTATTTCAACAGAAATCAGACCAAGCCTTCCACACTTCTGCTTTCTTACTGCTAAAAATTAAACAAGCGGTACTGAACAGTAAGGCACATCTTTAAACCATAACTACAGGTCTAAGAACATAATACTTCAGTAAAAAAATAATAAATAAAGCAGCATTAGGCTGCTAAAATTTGAGTATGTATGATTACATTTAAAAGTGACAGCTCTTGCAAACTCTCAGAAGAAAATTCTAACCTTTCCAGGAAACATTAGGTACTGTTTTCTTGTTTGGATCTTGATCTTCTAAAGGTGTCCTGTCTACTTGGATACCTGAGTCCTCCCTACTCAAAGGCTGAGCGTCTTCCTCTTCTTCACTTTCTTCAGACCAGTCCTATGCAATGTAACAAAATCCAGTATGTCTCAATGCAGTCTAACAGATCTATATTCAGTTCCTACTGACTGAAAAGCTCAGCTTTTCTCCCCTGTAAAGGCAATTCATGAAATTAAGACTAACATTACTGTCTACCAGGGACTGAACTGGTTAAAGGTAAGTAAAACACTAAAATTGCAAGTTTTTGGAGCAAGAGCATTTGTATTTATCTGAAAGGGATTTAGCAAAACTAGATTTAGGTGTAGAATAAAACATAAGCTACTGAATTTTTTAAATATATTTCAAAAGTACATATTCACATAATATATGAGGCTCTGATGAGATCAGTGTGCTGTTCCAAGTTTTCAGTACAATTTCTCCTTCTGAGGTTCAAAAATACAATTTAAACTCCTGAACTTCCACAACGCCTTACATACTGCCATACTGATAAGTTCCCACAGTATTAACAGGCTGCTAATTTATTTGTTTTGCAAAGTTTTCAGAATCATGTGTTATGATTATCTGGGAAATCTACACATATTCTATTAACTTTAGCTGATACAGTGAAGTTTGTACTTTGAAATCTTATCTTCTTAATCTCCTTTTGTCATTATGCATCCTACTTCAAGGCTAAAAATTTATCACAGCCGTTTAGAACGGGGAGAATAATCAGTAACCTCACCATTCAGCTACTAAGTAGGAAAGAGGTTAGAATGGTATACGCTGTCTGCCAGAGGAACACATTTTTTTTCTCCAAACCTTTCAAGTGAATTAGAACTCGGGAGCGGAAGCGTGTTCAAGTGGAGAAACGAGAGAACTGGAAACAATCACAGAAATACAAGAACTTCTGATTAGGGGCAGGTTGGGGTCAGGCTACAGAACTTGTCAAGTTAAAACATGGTGAAGAACAAAAGCGCTTTGTATTACTATTATTCCCGTTTGGGTCTGCGTGTCTTTCCTGGTATTAAGGAAATAAGCAACATATTAGGGAATCCTAGGAGGATCAACATAACAGAGTAAGCAGACCAGGAGAACTCAGTCAGGTCTGTAACATGCTTTGAACCAATATATACAGCTATTTTCTTTCACCTTAAGAAATTACTTACTGGTGTATCTACGCCAGGGCCAAAGTAAATTTCTTCTCCTTCCCTCAAATACTTTCCCCAGTCAAATTCTTCTTCCTTTTCTAAGAGGAGCATAAATACGAAAATACTCAGTCTCATTTAACTCTAATTTCCTTTTCCTCTAAAGACATTTCCAGAGCTAAAAATATCTTGTTACTCTACATCTTTACAATAAAAGGCATTCTCTGCCACTTAAGGTTATGCCACTGTTCCTTTAACGAAGCTGTACACTTTGCACATGAAATGTAAATGGTGACTGTGCAATCCTTATTAATTTTCACTTTTGTTGCTTATACATTCAAAATATGCAATGTATGGAGTCATCAGCATATTAGCCTGTATTATGTTATACTACCCTAGGCTTCAATCCTGGAAAAACATGCAAGGATGCAACATACTACTCTACTATGACTAGTATCATTTAGCTCAGCAGAAACATTCTGAACATATAGTTTACATATGCATAAGGATCCTGGACTGTAAACAAAACAAAGCAAGGATTGGCTTATTCTCCAGAAAAGACACCACACATCCATGATGCTATGTGTAAAACTTTAAAATAACAATCAAACTTACAATATATTATATCTTAAACATGAAGTTTACTCAACTGTAATTAGTGCTGTTTGAGATAACCTCTTCATATTCACATTCCTGGAATGGGCTGAAAGTGCATTCAAAACACCGCCGAGGGAATGTGCAGAGATCACTCAAAAAGGAATCTTAAGATGCAAGATTTTCTTTAGGTTAGTCTGAAATATTCTTCTTTCAGTCTATGATACAACACTGCAAACAAACGGGGGATGGCATCCTCTCAAACTCAAGCACAAGCCTAGTTTTTTCTTTTTTTAGGCACTGAGTGAAACAGTCCTCTTTTCTAAATTAGGCAAGCGGGATCTCCCTCTGGAAGCCTTCAAGGTACTGACCTTTCCAGACTACACAGAGAACACAGCAATTTACATTACTAAAGCTGTTTCAATAGATCCCCTGTTGAGGTGCAAGATAGCTGCTGAGGATAGAAACCAGCTGTCTTTGAGCTTGTAAGCGCTACTGAACAGGTGAAGAATTTCAGTAAATGATAGCAGTACAAGTCAAACAGCATTATCAAGAAACTTTGTTGGCCAGAAAATTTCGTTAGCTGATGTAACAAAAATGGGAGTACAAAAAATTTGCAGGGTGTTTTAAGTGTATAAATCATAAAGAGAATCAATAAAGCACCCTGAAGCGAAGGAGATAATAAAAATGGAGAGGAAAAATGTCTTTATCAGATTTTGTTAACTGATTGTATCAGTAGCAACAGAAAAATCTTGTAAACTTACCCACTTCTTTGTCTCTTGGTTTTTCCACATAGTTGTTGTTGGATGGAGAATCAGATAAACACAACAGAAGAGACAGTATGGAGTAGTGTGTATCTGTCTTTAAAACACGTAAAAGAAGCAAGTTAGTAAGTGGCTTAAAAGATTTTAGTTAGGAACAAACAAAGTCAATTATATGTAGGAATGCTCAACATTAACTCCCATTCCTCAACTAAGAAAAAAAATCTGCAACATCAGATCAGATGTTATCTGTTTCCTTAGGTCTGCTAACTAGCCAACCGATATTCAAAGACTTCAAAATCAGCCATAGCATAACCTGCCTCTTGCTGAGCTGATAATAAGAGGATATGGAAGAGCTAAGAGGAACCCAGAAGTATGGTGGAGGTAAAAAGTCACCAGGGGACAAGGGATAATGGAAAGCTACCTTAACGTAACCGAGAAAGAAAAGAGGAAACGGGCCTGCAGGAAATCAGATCCTTAGTTCCCCTATTCATATGGCTTGCTACGTCAAACAAAAGCTAAAACAAAGTTGGCTAAAACTCTTTCCACTTGGCTAAATTTGCTAAGTTTGAATGTCACGTTCATGTATCTTCCTTCACCTGAAAACCTACACAAAGTATTAAAGATGCATCTTTAACGCTGATACCGCACACTACCGCAGCTGTGAAACAAATGCCTTCAGTCTGGCTAGAATACTGTTACCAAGATGGGTATGCTGCAGAGATTTGTGCCACAGTCTGTTTCCTAGCATCTCCTTAGAGCACAACAATTTTTTTTTTTTAATCAAAGTAACATCTTTCTTCAGCTTGAGTCTGACTTTCCACAGTACTTTAGCAGGCCATGTCATGTCTGGACACATGCAGATTCCGCTGTCTATATCCTATATATTTTGACTTAAAAAGAAAAATACTTACAAAGCTCTTTGGGAATGAGATCCTAAAGAGCTTTGTATCAAGTAAATTTTTGATAAAGCAGCATATAGTCCACTGAGTATATATTTTTCAATATTATGTTCCTATTGAACACTCCTGACTCTACAAGAGTTTGTCAAAGAACACCAGTAGGTTGTTGACAGAATCACACATGTAAGCTGAGGTTCCGTTACCAATTATAAAACTCAGATACTCAGTCTTTCCAGCTACATGCCATTGCTAAAACCTAAATGTAGCTTAATGTCTCAAACCTGAAAGACTATACTCCAATTGCATTTTTAAAGGAAAAAGGCTGTTCCAATTCTCAGGATATTTGCAACATTCAAGTATAAAGTGCTTGTTTGGGGGTTTTGAGAGTGTTTTGACTTGGCTCCCACAACAAGCACAACCAGAGCTACTTAATCAAAAGTCTCCACAGTACACTATAACAATGCAGGATGTAAAAGCCATTGGGGGTTCTTGGGTTTCTCCTGACAAATTAAAGGAAAACTAAAAATAATCCAAAGAAAAGTAAGCATCAGTTCAAAGAGAAGTAGAATCGGGCTACAAGCCAGAACAAGCAGCCCTATTAAAGAATGACATTAGCACTAGTCAAATCACGATTTGCAACAGCAGGAACTTTCAGTTTTCAAAGGCCAAACACATATGACACTGCCAAACTGGAAACATAGTGAAAGTGTCCAAGTGAGTTACCCTTTGCTGTTTCCATCCATCCAATGCCCTAAACTGATTTGATTCAGAATGCATCAAAGAGGAAACATATACATAGTCTAAATAATAAAGCTACAGCGTAAGAGCGCTCCATTTGGAAATATGCTAAAACTAAAATGCCCCGATGCATCACCTGACTTAGGGTAAAAAAAAATCTAAGCAAAAAATAAGAATTTCTGCTCAGCTAGCCACCGTTTTAGAATAGAGAGGAATCTGGTTACATTTGTACACAGTTCATCTCATAAAACTTCACCTCTGCAATAAGATGTAACTTAAGTCATGAAACAGTGCCTACTGAAACCCTGAAAAGACAAGAAACACATCTCTAAAATAAATGGATAACTACTGAATACAACCCTGAGAACCTTTCGCAACTGCAAACCCCACTGGCAAAATCATCTGTAATTTCCAATACAACATCGCTCTAGAAGTCTCCATCGTCAGTATAAACGCAAGAGCACTGGAAAAAGGGACTTAAAAAAAAAAAAAAAAAGAGAGAGAGAGAGAGAGAAAAGAAAAGCATACATACCTTTGTTTCTTCAATGCCTGGGAGTGGTGAGTTCAGAAATTTGTGTGTTAATCTTCTCCAGCTTGCAGCTTTTCCAAGGTCAGAATGAACTACCAATTTTTCATGTATTCTAATAAAAAAAATTGTATCAACAAATACTTCAAAAAAGATAATTAATCTATTATTAATCCATGAACATAAAACCTACCCATCTATCGTCCTCTCTATTTTGTGACTGTTCACATCAAGAAATCGGTGAAATCTGTGTGAGAAATCTGTGTTAGAAAATACTTGAAAAGAGAACTTAAGTGAGGAAAAAAATAAAGCTGATTTAAACATATAGTGACATCATCACCAGTTTAATATGTTTTCTGGTTAACAGCGCATGATTAATTCAGCAACATCATTAAACAGCAACACAATTTAATCTCTCTGCCTCTTATCTCAAGGAGGATTAACCACAATTGACTTTACAGATGGAAAAACGTACGTAAGTTACATTCGACCAGCAGTTTAAACTGAATGGAAAAATACTACTGTAGCAGCAGACTAAGCAAGTAAAGTAACTGGTCAGTTAAGTTAACCAGAGTGAGGAGCTCAAGAACATGTTTGTCAGGGATCCATGTTGAAGGCAGAAAAATCACCTGGGACTGGCATCACAAGCACAGGGAAAATATCTGCATCGAAAGGCCTCTAAAACCAAATGAAAATGCTTTGAAAATAGTAAAGGAGAGTGCCAGAAAGAACAACAAAAGAGAGCCCAAGTAAAATAACGAAGGATGAACTACAGAAAGTAGCACATGTTAGGACTGATGAAAAGTAAGTTAGACTTTACAAAGGAAATTAGAATAGGAAAAAGGCTCTTCAGTTATACATGGAGAAAAACCTGGAAACGTGATATGACAGCAATCTGAATTAGATCAAGATTCAAGATTCTCCATATGTAGCCCTCAAAGTCAACTGAGCATTTTGCCTCAGCTTCCAGTAACAACTGCACATAATTGCTATCACCTTGTTCTACGAGCAACAGATGAAAAAGAAAACTACTGCATCTGAACAGGGAGCAAAAGCTAAGTTTAATGGACTAAATTTGGAGAGGCAATCATCTCAGTGTCAAAGAAATGAACTAGAAAATGACACTGCAAGCCAAGTAGCAAGGATTTTTAATAAGCTTCACTGGAGGATAGAGACATGCCTGTATTTAAGAAATAGAAAAACAACTTGGTTAACTACTACCCCTTTAGTCTGACTTCAGCTGCGTGTAAGGCTTTGGAATAAATGTTGGAAAGAATAACTAAGAGATTAAAGTAAATGGAAAGCACAATAAAATGTGACATTAACTGGGTAGCTGATATTGAAGCTAAGAAAATACAGCGTATCGCATCTGTTTCAGCACATTAGCTTACACAGGAAATCATTAGCTCAACTGGAAAATGGTGATAAGTACAAGAGCTGGAAGATATATAAAAATAGACCAGAAAGATGACCAAAGGAAAGCTGCATTGAAAGGGAAAACCATTAAGCTAAAGGGAAGTTATTAGTAACTTTAGCCTAGTATTGTTTAACACTTTAACTAATGACTCTAACACAAAAAAAAAAGTATTTCAATTTTTTTTAGGCAAGGTCAGAGAATCATCAATAGAAAAGGACTAATATACTGCATGGAAAGAATTAGATGAATCTGAGAACCACAGTATAGAAATGTCACTGAATCTAATAATACAAATCACACGTTTCACAAACTCGAAACGAAAAAGAATTTATACTGTTATCTAAGGGTGCATGAGTTGGAAACACGAGATTTCTGGCTGAAGTTCTTGGTTTTTTGGACAGCAATACCAGCACAAACACGTTCCTCTTCCCAATATTCCCACTCCAAACTGTTTGTTGTCAACCCTTCATTGTCCCCTCTGTTTTCCCTGCCAGGTTGTTTTTCAAAAAATAACCCACCACTTCCCCAATTGGAAAGACCACATAGCAACACAAGCAACTGTGTCACTGAAACAGAGGGAGAAGCGTAAAGTTAGGTGACAGACGATGGCTTATTTAATCAAGCTCAAGAAACCCTGCCACCATTACAAAACTGCAGACTCAGGATAACTACTACTACAAGCAACTATTCTGATGCATCTACAAACCCAGCAAATATAATTCTATGATGCATTAAATCAAAATATGTCTGGTAAATACAAGAAATACAGTGAGACAGCAGCTGCAATACCATATTCCTACTTTCCCAATGAACACCACTAGCCTCCCTCAATATTTAGCCAAGTGTTGAACTTGTCAAAATGCCAGCTATGGGTGACACTCAGCTCTGTCACATCGCAGACTCACACCAGCCACTGACCAACGCATATTTATTTATCGTTTTACGTAAAGTAGTCTTATTTGAGTCTATAATAGGTATAGGTTTCACAATCCTACTCAGTGCTGCAATGCAGTAAATGCCGCTGCTCACCTAAAAACCGCATTAAAGCGGCATGAGACATGAAAATACCATTGATGTTAATTCGATGAGCATGAAGTCAAGCAACTACATAAGGCTCTGTAGAGGCAGCAATTAACTGACAGTAAGGGGAATGGGAAACAGTTTATGCGAAAACTGCCAGCAGATGCTTGGTACAATAATTACAATAACTGAAAAAAACAGTGTGTGCAAGCTCAAGAAGAACATTTCAGATAGTGTAACGTATGGTAACTGTATCCCTTTAATTTTATTACTGGCTAACGGTGACTGTAGTTATGGTAAGCTTAAATGCCATCAAACAGATCTGTCTTTGCAGACTGATATCCTTCAAAAGCAGTATTCTTGGCCAGGCGCTATATCTCGATTTGGTGGAGTTCTGTTTATTTGCTCTTAGGCATAACGACTATTCCTTTATTTTCTGTTCGACAGACATGAGTTTTTGGACGGCTCGGTGAGAATGCTAAAAAGGCCCCTTTTTAAGTATCGAGAGAAAAACCCTGACAGACTGGGACTGAAAAGTGCCGGAGCAATAGGCAGCGACCCTCCGATAAGGGCTTGCAAGCGGTCTCCAGTGCCATCCTGGACACCCGTTAAGGCAGCCACGGCCGGGCACTGCCGCAGCGCAGCGGCCACCAAACA